TGGGGCATTGGTGGGCCTCTGGTAGACTAGCTGATGCACAATGGTGTAAAATAAACAGATAAGGGGACTGCAGGTGGTGTGGTTAAGGAGCTGGACTCTCATAGGCTGACTGCGGTTCAAGTCCTGGATCTGGCAGCTTGCTTTCTCACTTTCCCTCTCTTTCTCTCCCTATCTCTCTCTGGTGAGCACATGTGCCCTATAACAAATTAAGAAAATAAATAAAATCAATACTTAAAAATGAAAATATAAACATATAAAATATTTTATAATCAGGAGTAGAAAAAAATGTGCCATCCCTTCTATATGACCCTTCCTGTCATTGCAGGGAGGGTGGCACAAGTTAGTCAGCTGAACCTGAAGCCCACCTTGCCTTGCCATCATAATTCGGTTGTGGCCTGAAGTGTGCTACTTCTGCTGTTTTAGCTGAACCGTAAATTAACCCCATTGCTTAGGTAAAACTGAATAAGGCAAAAGGTTTCCTGGGGTGGGGGTGGGTGGTCATAGACGGTTTTAAAAATTGAGGTAATGGGAATACTGCACTTTTCATTGATCCGGAGTTTGCACTGGTTACGGACGACACCTTGAACTTTGAAGCATCTCACCAGCACTGTTAGCATGTAGTCTGAAAAAAGTGACCTTTCCCCTCTTAGGACAAAAATAAAAGTGCTGTCCAATATTTTGACAAGAAAAGAGACAGCTCTGGAGAAATGCAAAGGCAGACAACATAGACCTTCAGAAGACTCCTGGACATTTTCTGACCTCTAACACCTCAGAGGAATGAGAGGCTTCTCTGCCCTTGAAGGAAGAAAGGGAGATGTACCCCTTCTTTTTCCTTCTAATTGGCTACATCAGGTCGGGTCTCAGAACTCTAAAGGCAGGCTTCCTGACAGGAAAGCACAGAGCTGCTAGCTTCGTACAATGTGAATTTACATCCTCCTGCCACTCTCAAGTCAACAAAATCCTGTTTCATCAAGATGCACATGTTGAAACAGAATGACTACCCTTCAGGGCCAGCAGGTGGTGTGGTAGATAAGGTGCTGGACTCCTGCATGGCCAACCGTGGTTTGGGTCCTGGACCCAGTGGCATGAGAATCACCCTGAGTTGTGTGCCTGTGTACCCAAAATCCTGAGAAGAGAGTGGAGGAGAAGGGACTGCGGCATGTCCCCCCCTCACCGGGGGTGATTTCTCACTTTCTCTCTCTCTCTTTCTAGTGAATGCACACACCCTGTGGCAAAAACCAAAACCCAAACCAAAAAGATTCTACTCTAATAGAAACGCTCTTTTGTTTACAGGGTACTCAAGATAAGTCTAAGTGGAAGTAAAATGGGTCTGCAGGGGGCCAGCAGATGGCGTAGCAGTTAAGTTGCTGGACTACCACATGGTTGACTGTGGTTAGAGTACCAGACCTAATGGCTTGAAAATCACTCTGGGTGTGTGTGCGTGCATGCTCAAAATCCTGGGAGGAGAATGGAGAAGAGGGGATTGTGGCATGGTTATTCCCCTGGGGATGATTTCCCACTTTCTCTCTCACTGTTTCTGTCTCTCTGGTGAGCATACATGCCCTAAGGCAAAAAAACCACTGAAAAAAGAAGGGAGTCTGCAGATGAGCAATGGTGCAGGACACTGAGGCTCTGGAGGAGGACGAGCCCTGGGAGTGTGTGGACATACTCTGCAAGGAGGAGCTGGGGCGGCATGGCCAAGGCCGGCCCAGACATTCCTGCCCAATTCCAGGACTGGAAGACCCAGGAAGCACTTTTTCCTGTCTGCCTAGGACAAAACTAAAAACACTGCCTAATCTTTAAAGAATTTTATAAAAAGAGGTGAGAGGCTGAAAATAAAACACACCTTCCGAAACCAGAATGGTTTGTATAAATGAATGTGTGCAAGATGACTACCATGCCCTAGGGAGCCAGAGATGCTGGGGTTAGAACCCCACCTCGAGAAGATCAGGACCCAGGTGGATTTTTACTCATTCCATTCCAACCCCACCCCGAGGTTTTTCTGACAGATGGAATGCGAGGCAAGTCAGATAGTGGCATGACCCTGAATCAAACTGATCATTTTTCTAGGAAAAAAAGCTGGTTTATTCCAAAGAGAAACTGGTATCTGGGGACCAGCAGTTGGTATAATGGCTATGTCACTGGACTCCCATGTAGTCGATCGTAGTTCGAGTCCTGGACCTGGTGGCTTAAACTCAGGCCTGGCACATGTGTGTACATGCCCAAAATCCCGAGAGAATGAAGGAGAAGGGATTGTGGTGTGGCCATGCCCCCCCCCCCGGGGGGGAGGTGATTTCTCACTTTCTGTCTCTCTGTCTCTGTCTTCCTGGTGAGCACACGCGCCCTATAGCAAAAACCTCTCCAAAAAGAGAAAAAAAAGAAAAAAAAAGGTATCTGTCACTTGGTAAGTCAGTATTTTCTAATATGTAAAACTAGAAATTCTGAATCCAAGGAATCCAGTAGGTGTTTTTAGTTCTTATTTTGAAGAAGAATTGCAATTCAGAAAGTTTATCATTTAAGGAAATTATCCCTATGGACCTAAATTAGTAGACAACGAAAATAGGAAAAGCGCCGAGAAGGCAACTATGGGCCTGGAAGAACCAAGTCAACTCGTCTCTGAAATCAGCCAGGCTCCCCGGTTTTGATCAGAATCTCAGACTGAACACGCGAAAGGCCCTATGACATTCGAAGACCCAGACTCACGCTTAGTTGGGGTCTGTCTCTACAGCACTCACTATGGTGTTTCAAAGAATAACAGTGGGAACCACTGGCTTCTAGGTAGGCAGTGGATAGACGAGGGTTTTAGTAAGAATATCAGGAACGCACTGCTCATCGTTCAAATCCACGCGCCTTTTTTAGCCAGGGCCAAATTGTGTATCTTCTGGGAAAAATCCTTTGAATGTATCAGTCCTGGTTTCTGATGAACTGTCTCTGGGTGTGCAACCATGTTTGCAGAGGGGCCTATATTTTCCTAAAATAGTTCTCGGTTCATTTTCCCAAAGGTCATAATGACATTTTGCATTTATTTATGTAGCTTTATTGACATCTACTTTACGTACCATAAAGCTCACCCACTTCCAGTGTATGTACAGAGGTGTGAAACCATTACCAGAGTCTAATTTGACATTTCCATTACCCCAGAAAGAAACCTTGTATTCACGGGCACTGATAAGGTATTATAAATTCGGGCTTTCCCTTGCTTCTCAATAACTTTTGTTGACGGAATCACTTACTTAATAAGGGAAGTCAAAGGGAAAAAAGAAATACCTAAAGGAAAGGAATTATTGTGTCAGATTTTAAATGTGTTTTGATCCAGGCTCTCCTCCTTCTCCCCAAAGATTCAGAAGCAGTGCAGTTATCAGCTTTTGTGAAAATCCCAGAAGCAATTCCAGAAGGTCACGTGCCGGCTACTCCTAGAGCAGGCAGGCTTGTGCGGTTGTCATGGGGAAGGCTTTTCAACTGAAATAAAAATACTCAGGCGCAGCCTGCTGCCACAGAGAAAATGCTTTTCACGTGCGCTCCATATAACTCGCCTAAGTGACAGGTTTTTCCTTGGAGAAGCAGCGAACGGAGCTGGTTTACACGGTCAATTATTGCTCATTCCAGAAGAAAGGAAGGAAGGGGAGGGGTGAAGGGTAGCCAGACAATGCCGAGGTGCCTGTCAGCCAGCCAAGGGGGACCTCTCCTGCTGTTTCTAACTGTGTACACCTCCCTTGTGGTGACACATGGAGGCTTCACTTTCACTTCTGGACCTTTTTTTTTTTTTTTTTAATAAGATTTTTGCCATAGGGCGCATACTCTCTCCAGAGAGAGAGAGGGGGAGACAGCGAGAGGGGAAGTGAGAAATCACTCCGCAGAGGGAATGGCCAGGCCACAATCCCTTTTCCTCCTTTCTCTTCCTGGGATTTTGGGTGGGTACAAATGCACATGCACACAGCCTGCATTTCAAACCACCGGGACTGGGACTCAAACCATGGTTAACCATGTGGGAATCCAGCACCTTAAGCACCATACCATCTGCTGGCATACTGGACAGTTATTTAAAAGACACACACGTGTAGGCAAATAAACATGACCCTTAGTGAAAAAGCCAAATCCAAATCCCAAAGGGCCTGGTCTGTTGAAGTAACTATGTAGCCCTGTTCAACTCTCCTTCTGTAGCCTTTCAGGTCAAATGGTCGAAAAACATAGCTAGAGTGTGTTTTGTTTCTTTTCTCTCTTTAATTGCCAGAGGGTATGTGCCCTAGCCAGAGTCAGAGAAAAGGGAAAAGGCACTCCCCAACAATGAGGTGTGGTCATGCTGCAATCCTGTCTCCTCCACTTCTCCATCCCATTGGGATTTTGGACACGCATACATGCGGTGCCCGAGGGATTTTCCAAGCCACCAGTGTTGGATTTGAACTGTGGTGGGCCATGCGGGATCCAGCTCCCTGAACCACGAGGCTATGGGGCCAGCCCTTGAGTGTGTTTCTTGATGAGGTGGATATTTCTCACTCAATAACACAGCCCGGAGAAAGACAGCAACGCAAAGAATAAGAAGTCAGGCACGCAGGATCGTGAGTTGTTGAATTACACGCATTAAGTATTTCAGGAGAGAATCTCATCAAAAGATAGATAGCGCCTGGTGAAATGATATGGAGAGAGTCGGAAGAAAGCACCTCGAAATAAATGAAGTACTTATTGCTGAAAAATGAGCTTTGCTCTCAACCAATTCCAAAGTTCAGAATTTACGGCGTTATTCAGGCCTTTTCCTTTTAGTTTCTTGTCTCTTGTTTCACGGCACAACAAGGCATTCTTCATACTTTATATGAAATACAACAAGGCGATTTTTGCAGTAATAAACTCCACACATGCATGACAAATCCAAGCATGCAAAATGTTTAACATCCCAGTTCACAGATACTTTAGGGACAAAATCCGATTATGAATTATATGCCACAATAAATAGGGCTCAATGTTTCATAACGCAATTTATAGTTCATAAAAATGACAAAATGTACCTGTCAGACAGAGCGCGGAGAGTAGGTCTCTGGGCCGCCTGCTGGGAGAAAGGGCAGAATGTTTATTTAATATTCTGACTTTTAAATTATGTGCTCAATCAACACTTAGCAAAACCCGTTTTACACACATTTTTGTCATGTGGCCAAATCTTCAGCGACGAGCGGCATCGTAGCGAGCCCTGCCACGCTGTTCTGAAATGAACATTCCAGAGGCGTTCAGTGAAGCCTGACAGTGCACACCTGCCATGCGAGACACATGGAGAAGCCAGAGTTCTCCACTCTGGGGGAGGTTGGACAGAGCCCAGGGACTGGGCAAAGAGCAGAGCTACTTTATCTTTACTCCTTGAAATCATTTCCCCCATTCCTTTATTTTTCTTTCCTATAAGGGAAAAAAAGATCTACGTAGGTCCCTTTACAGCCTCTTTCCCAGCGAAGGTGTCGTTTTTGACTCGGTTTTCAGGTGGATCGAAAAAGTCTCCATGGTTAGAAAATGGAAGTCTAACTAGAAATCTCATGGCACCACGGGGTTATTGATTTGTTTTAAGCATGGAAATGGTATTGAGGCAATGTTTTTTAAAGAATTTTGGAGATTCATATTGAAATATTTATGGAGAAAATGATAATGATGTTGGGATTTACTTTAAAATACATTGGAAGGGAGGGGAGAGTGGGTGGGATTCTGGATGAAACAAGATGGTCTTGGGTTGATAATGGTGAAATTAGGTGATGAGAACACTGGGGGGTAATTATATTATTCTGCTTATTTTTGTATGTGAAATGAACAACATTTTCATTTGTGTAGAAAATGAGTTGGCTTGGTTTCTTTTGTTTTACTTACAGTCAGAGTGTATGTGTGCATGTACATGCGTGCACATTAAAATTTTTTCCTAATTAAAACACTAAAAGGGACCAGCAGTTAGTGTAATGGCTATGTCGTTGAACTCCCATGTAGTCGACCATGGTTTGAGTCTCGGACCCAGTGGCTTAAACTCATGCCAGGGGTGCATGTGTGTGCCCAAGATCTGAGAGGAGAATGGAGGAGAAGAGATTGCAGTGTGGCCATCCCCCCGGGGGGTGATTTCTCGCTTTCTGTCTCTCTGTCTCTCTCTGTCTTTCTGGTGAGTGCACGGGCCCTATAGCAAAATCTACTATGAAATAATAAAAACAAAAACAAAAACAAAAAAAAACACTAAAAGAAAAAAGAAGTCACAAAGACCTCATTCTCCATCAGAGGATTGCAGTTTTGGACTCCCTTTCCTATTCTTCCCTGCTCCTATTCTGACTTCCTCCCTAGGAACTGGGCTTCTCCAGGACAGTGGCTCCTACTTTTATTTCATTTATTCATGTACTCTTATTTTTCTCACTGGGTTCAGTGCAGCTGAGGAAGGAGGGGTGCACGTGCTCCATCTCAGAAGTCACAACTGTGTGGTAACCAAAGCATGGCCCCGAGGTCACGTTTACTCAGGGGCTGCCAGGAAATAAGAGGTGTGCCTATGGTCTACTTCTGCTTTGTGGGAAACACTCGTCAAGTTTGCTGTTTACCAGGGACACCAAAACACTTCTCATGCTATCCCCTCATCACGTGGAGACAGCAGATGCAACAGACAGAATCTTCAGATTAGAAAAAATGACCCATCAGAACTCTTATCCCTGTTGCAGAAATAAAATTACCCCTGCTCATGCCATGTCTTTGGATTAGTCAGTCACCTAACATTTACTAACTTCCTACCAGGTGGAGACGGTCGTGGTGGGCTCCCAGAGAGACAGACACAAAGGCAGGCCCACCTGTGGAGGCATGAGCAGCCCACACATGATGTTTCACTGGTGAGGACCACACGGGAGGCCTGGTCTGGGTCCTGGTCTGACCTGAATGCTGAGTGGGACGGACTGCACCTGCGGCCCTAGCTCACTACGAGTCTGAGGTAGGACTGTGAGCTTAGGCTGGTCTGGGTATCACAGGGAAACCCTGTCTGAAAAAGAGCCAGGAGTGGTGGTCTGTGCCCATAGTCCCTGCTGGAGGGCTGAGGCAGGAGGACTCACAGCTGACACAACTAGACCCTGTTGGAGAAAAAAAATAAACGAGTACGTGAATGAATGAAATAAAAGTAGGAACCACTGTCCTGGAGAAGCCCAGTCCCTAGGGAGGAAGTCAGAATAGGAGCAAGGAAGACCTGCACACACTGATAAAGTGACGTGAAAGTGAAGAGATGAAGGCAGGACAGGGCTGGGAGGAGGCAGATGGAAGGGTTGACCCGGCGCAGGATCAGTAGCTCCTCAAACAAGGCCCTGACCTATCAGCAGGTGCTCAGCACACATCTGCTGGGTAAACGTTAGACGAATGAACCAGCCGGGGAATCTTTCCTACTGAAATCTGTGCAGATTTGAAAGACAGGGAAGGACATGATCAGGAGAGGAGGTGCTGGTAGAACTGGGCTTCAGGGGGAGTAAGGGCCTACCCTAACCTCCAGCAGGGGTTCCCAGGTGGGGCACCCCAGGGGTGTCTGGAATTCAGGGGGGTGTTTCTGCCTGCTACATTCACAAAGGGATTACTACTAGCATTTAGTACCTGGGGCCAGGGATGCCCTTCAAAGATCAGGAAGGTCCCTGGTACAATGAGGAGCTGTCTCTTAAAAACACCAAGGGTTTCAGGGACCAACAGATGGCGTAATGGTTATGTCACTGGACTCCCATGTAGGTGATCATGGTTCAAGTCCTGTACCTGGTAACTTAACACTCACACTGGATGTGAGAGAATGGAGGAGAATGGAATATGGCATGGCCACCCACACTGGGGGGGGGGGATTTCTCACTTTCTGTCTCTCTGTCTTTCCAGCTAGTGCACACATCTTATAGCAAAAATCTCTTTCCAAAGAACAAAAAGACAACGGTTTCTGCAGAGAATCACTCCAGCAAAGTGGGAATGGTAAGCAGATCTAAGATATAGAACCTGAGCTGTGGGGCCTAACAAACGGGACTGAAAAGAAACCAATAGGAAGAGCTTAGATGATCTCTAAAAGGGACACAACATTGATTAAGGAAAAGCCATGACGTCTGCTAATCTGGGGTTGGGAGTCATCCATGCTGGGGTGGGGCTCGCCATTTGTCTGTGGACCCGGAGACTGGTTCACCAGCTGAGGTTGTTTCTAAACTACCCTTTGTTCTCTGAATGGGAAGGTGAAGGAGCCAGGTGGTCAATGCTCAGCTTCTGTGGACAATCAAATGAGGTACTGCCCCTTTCTTGTTTCTGGAGTACAGTGAATGAAAGCCCTGTGGCCTTGGCATCCCAGAGTCAGAATTACTGTGAGAGGGGAAGAAGCAACATCTACAGGTCCTGAAAGGGACATCTGGGGGGAGGGCGGCGAGTGGAGCAGCTGGAAAGAGAGAGAAGCCTGCGAAGCCCAGCCAGATCCTCAGAGGATGGGTACTTCCTTCCCTCTCCTCACTTCTTCCCCTGAGCCTCCTGCGGAGCCAGCCCAGGAGCTCCGCTCACAAATCACCCCAGCAGGTGACAGTGGCCATCATTGTTAGCCGGCTGGTCTCCTCAAGGGTCCTCTTCTCTCTCAGCATGACAGCTTTCGCTTTTGGCAGCAACACTTGAAAGGAACTGAACTCTGTACTCCTGACTCTGTTTGGCTGAATATGCGGGAAGTATGCCGAACTCCCCCAAAGAAAGGTGGAATGTATTATTAGGGTAGACTTAACATCGTCTCGGCGGGAGGCCTTGGAGCCAGACTCTCCCTGGAATAACAGAAATCAGAAAAGATGTGATGAAAAGTTCAATAGAAACCTCTAGCATGGCATCTGAGTCTCCTCCAGCCATGGAAAGAGACCAAGGCTGTCAATATTTAAAAGCTTATTGACTCTTTTCTCTCCTGCCTCCAAATATTTCCCGCTGACTTTCATGATAGGGAAACAGTGCTTGTGGATGAATAGCCGTAAGAAAATCATTTAAAAAGCAAAAGCAAAACAAACAAGCAAACAAACCGGAGCAGCTCCACTGTGTGACTACCGCAGGGGCACCTCGGAATTGGAACGCCCAGGCGGGGGCCCCGTTAACAACTCCACAGGACTGGTGTGGCAGAGTCTGCTCCCAGAAGCCTGGCAAGCAAGGCTGTTTCCCTTCACCCCTAGGATGTGGTGCTGGGCCCAAAAGGTCCTTCTGGGCTTAGAAACTGCGTTCCCCTGCCCTCTGAGTCACAAAGCACTGCCTTTCATTCCTCACCCTTCTAACTTGTCAACATGAAGTATGTTTTCACATGCTCCCTGTCCTGGTACATTGACGGGCTACAAACTAATGCTTTTTTTGGGTGAGGTTTTTGCTATAGGGTGCGTATGCCCGCCAAACAGACAGAGACAGAAAGACAGAAAGTGAGAAATCACCCCCAGGGGGGCTGGCCACGCTGTGATCCCTTATCCTCCATTCTCTCAGGATCTTGGGCATGCACGCATACATGCCCAGTGTGAGTTTAAGCCACTGGGTCCGGGACTTGAACCACGGTTGGCTACATGGGAGTCCAGTGACGTAGCCATTACACCAACTGCTGGTCCCCAAACTAAATTTAATGACTGATTTTAAAAAAAATATTTATTTATTATTGTTTTAATTCATCAGAGAGAGATGGGGGGGGGTCAGAAAGCAAGCTGCCACATCCGGGATTAGAGCCATGGTTGACCACATGGGAGTCTAGTGCCTTAACCGCCACACTACTCTTGGCTCTAATGCCTAATTTTGATTGTGCCATTTAATTTGTCATTATTCTTCATCATTAAGATCTTACATAAGATAACACAACATTCATCAGGAAAGAAGAGAATATGTTAAATGTTTTAAATAATTCCTAGAGGGACCAGCAGTTGGCGTAATGGCTATGTCGCTGGACTCCCATGTAGTTGACTGTGGTTCGAGTCCCAGACCAGTGGCTTAAACTTAACGCCTGGTGCGCGTGCACGCCCAAGATCCTCAGAGGAGAATGGAGGAGAAGGGATTTGTGGCGTGGCTATCTACCCTTGGAGGGGGGGTGATTTTCCACTTTCTGTCTCT